CGCGGTGAGCCCAGCGTCCTCCTACGCCGCCATCTTCCCTACGATCTCCTCAATTTTCTTAAAAAACAAGGCAACAGAAATATTTTACTAACACCTATGCATGGAAGCAGTCCGTATCTTCCCTTTTTTTCTGAAATATTTATCATTGGTTGTTTTTAAGTATAATAAAATCGAGTAGTCCTTTTACTAAAGCGTAATATTGTTCCAGTTCCAGTGATCAGATACGTTTAAAAACAAAACCTGGGGGGCGCCTGGGTGGCGCAGTCGGTTAAGCGTCCGACTTCAGCCAGGTCACGATCTCGCGGTCCGTGAGTTCGAGCCCCGCGTCAGGCTCTGGGCTGATGGCTCGGAGCCTGGAGCCTGTTTCCGATTCTGTGTCTCCCTCTCTCTCTGCCCCTCCCCCGTTCATGCTCTGTCTCTGTCTGTCCCATAAATAAATTTAAAAAGTTGGAAAAAAAAAAAAAAAAAACCTGGGCCCTCTTGCCATTATCTAATATCTTAGCAACTATAAAATCTTGACACATGGCTGACACTGAACCATGGGAGTTGTTGAACTCATTCACCTGCAGTTCCTTACTGCCCTCCAGACCTTTGCAGGGAATCTTATACTGTGCTGAGTCTCCTCCAGTCTCCTCTTTCTCTTCTGTTTGTACTTCTAGATATCTCAGTCAAGAACCTTTTTCAAATGCCTCCTCTTAATCTTCATAGCAAAGCCACCTACCTTCCTGAACTGCTTATCAAACCTGGATCTCCACTCTCTTTATTCCTTATTTGCCTTACCTCCACATTCACCCACAAGGCATACTTGTTAAGTTGGAGTATGGATGCAGTGGACTCAAAAGGCATGCCTGGAGTCAAAAGGCATGAGAGGGTTATTTTTATTTCTTTTTGCTCTTTGCTATTCTCCTATGTTCTCATTTAGTGAACTGAATCTCTCATTCAAAAAATGTTTTTTTAAAAAAAGTTTTAATATTGGTAATTTTTGTTATTTACACATGTATTCATTATAACTAATACATTGTTATTAACACCTGTTATTAAAGTAGGATATATTTATATACAATTATGTGTCTAGGGAAAGATTTTCTGACTAAATTGATATGGAGAAAAATCTGTCATTAAGAAAAATCATATTTTTAGTTTTCATTGGCATGTCTAATCTTATGAAGTACTATGTTATAACTTAATATTATATTTACCTGTTCCAAACTTCTTAAATGCTCACATACCTCTTTGATTATTACACTGCAAGAAACCTAGAAAAGAATGGAGTGTGTAAATGTAGTCATGTAAAGGAAGGCTCACCTTATTGTCACCAGTAAACCACTATCTGTCATGCCAAGGGCTTTGGCCAGGTGCCATTTTAAAAATACACCCCTTCTAAATCAAGGGTGCTTTTTAGAATCTTTAAAGGGTTATATGTTCTTAAGATATAGATTCAGACTCAGATATTGCCTAAACCATCAAGCAAGTACTAACTTTATCCAAATTCTAAAATCCTCTAGAGGGTATAATTCAGTTTTCCCTGACAACCTAACTCTGTATTTAATATTTGCCTGTTAGTGGCCTTCAATCCCTCAGGCTATGGTAGAAAAGAGTATCTGTTCTGGTTCTGTATTTAGTTGGAGCCTAGGAAAACCTATAATATGATTAATAGCATTCTCTACTTGCCCCATTACACACACACACACACATACTCATGTGCACACACACACGTGCATGCAGGCACATACTTCTTTTCCAGGAGCCATAACCTACAACAGAACACAGTGCACAAATTGTGCCAGAGCAGCTGCTCAGAGCACATAATAGGCAAGGGAAAATATGCATTGCTTTTTTTCCCTCTACTCTTCCAAGAATCAAACCTGTTGAAGGGAGAAGCTGCCATGCTTGCATTTAATTCTGTAACCTCTGTTCCTTTCCAGAGAAACTCTGGTACTTCTGTCAGTACCCAGTTTATTAAGTTGTTTTCAAAAACACCACTCTGTGACTTCTCACCTGCACACTTGACTTCTTGTTGATTTCTTAATGGAAAATAAGTGGTTGCCCATTTTTAGTACTGAATTAGGGGTCAGCTTGTGTTGATAAAACTACAAGGCTATCAATGAGATGGATCATTGGATTAAACAGAATTAGAAAGACTTGTTAAGATTATAGGCTTTATAGTAAATGAAAAGAAGTAATATTTGATATGTAACTGGACACTTTATTTCTATGTATAAGAGGAAGAGATCATAAAGGAAATGTGGAAAGACCAGAATATGTAAAAATAATCTGTATTTCAAAATGTATTAAATCAAATGAAAAGTAAAAGTTTTAGGGAATTTGTACAACATATGACACAGGATTACCATCTCTTATGTATAAGTTGCATTTGCAAATCACTGTGAAAAAGTCTTCAATGGAAAAATATGAGGTAACCATTTGAAAGAGCACAGAATGGAGAAGAAGATGGTGGTGGAGTAGAAGGACCCTAGGCTTTCCTCATCCCATGAGTATAATTAGATAACTATCAAATCATGCTAAATATCCCAGAAATTGACCTGAAGACTAGGAGAACAAACTTCACAACTAAACATAGAGAAGAAGCCACATCAAAGAAGGTAGGAAGTGCAGAGACACAGTTTGAGAGAGAAATGGATCATGGCCATTGTGATGGGGAGGGAGCCATAATTGTGGAGAAGGACGAGAGACAGACTAACATGCTATGGAGGAGTGCACAGGAAAAACAAATCCCCTTGGCAATTGGCTTGGAAAGCAAGAGGGGCTGAATTTCATGAGTTCTGGCAACCAGTGGGACTTAAATCGTGGAGTTCTGTGGGAGGGAAGGCAGGACAAACAGGCTGTGGACGTACAGTGTGGAAATAGGAATCTGAAGAGCACTTGGGGGCACTCAGTGGTGAGGTGACTTGGTTATCCCAGAGCATGTCCCAGAGAGGTAGCATTCATAGAGAGACCCTTCTAGGAACAAAGGAACCGGCAGGTGCTATTTCCCTTCCCTGCCCCTCAGCATAAGTACAAGGCCACCTGTGGGAACTACTGCAGCATAGGCACTTACTACTTACCTTGCTTAAACCAAGTCCTGCCCTCGCTCCCAACTCCATGCCCTTTCTAGTCATGTTTACCTTAGTTCCAGAATGGAAGGCCCATACCCCCAAAAGACCAGCCCAAACCCCTGCCAACACTGCATCTCCAGATGCAGGAGTTTTGTGTAGCCTAGGTTCCAGTGGCGGTGGCAATGTGTCTCATTTCACAAGCAGATCAGAGCACACCTAGTTAAAACATGCCACATTCAGGCCAGGGTCCAAACACTGCTCACAGCAGGCAAAGAGAGACTTTGTAGATGACTGGGATGAAAGGACACAAGAGCAGACCACATACAGCATACATTGGAGACACTCCTGGACAGGGGACACTACAGTGTAGGTCACTACAGGACCTCTTCATA